ACGGGAGGTAACACATTCTAATAATTTATTCTGTAGAGTAGTGAATATTGAATTGCCGAAACGAAACATGAAGCTAAAATATGTAATTTTACACAGTTACATTGGTGATATTAAGTAAGCTTAATGGTGCCATTCCACTGATATGTCCTTCGAAACTGGAAGTTAAAGAAACGCTGACGCACATCGGGCTTTCATTGCTAAACGACCGAAACATTGATTCAAAAAGTGTTATGACAGACACTACTTATCCTGTGGATAAATACTCACACAAATGATCGTAAATGTACAAAACGTCAGGATAGGGAGGGATACTATAAACTGTTGATTTCCCAACAAGGTCATGTACCTATCAGGGGGAATATCCTCTCTCTCTGAGGTTCTCCACACGTGTCAGGGGGGAATCTCGTCTCGTCTCCATATCTCGTCCCCTTGAGGTACGGGATCGCGAAAGTCACTTATACTTTACAGTCAAATAAGACACACACAACGAAATACGTTTCAGCTCTCGTCTTAGTCGGTCAATCGAGCACTCTATAAGACACAGCGCCCTGGGGAAATATCCCCAAGACTATCGCAAGGCTGGTCCAAGACTCTCTTAGACTGCGTCAACACTCGCCCAAGGCTCTCCAGGACTGCTCTCTCTCTCTACTGCGTCTGTCGTGGAGTATTCGTCAAGACCAACTCAAACTCTCTTTATTCATTTCCAAAACTCTAACCAATTACAAAACAGTAAAAGACTCTAGGGCGTAACCTTCAATCATAAAGCCAATCACACTAAGTACTGAATACGTCATATCTTTTGATTAATCGTTCACTACATTAATAACTATGGATACCAACTGTCAGAATGAGTAGTCTAAATAGCGGCGGTTATCTGGTAATTAGTTCCAAATCACTGAGCCAAGTTCCGTCCAAAACTTCAAATAGGCCTAAACGATGACAGACATAACACAACAATTCGCTAATAATCAACTAATTAAGTCGGTTAACAGATACGCAAAAACAAATTCATGACATACCTATATGGTTTGTTAATTTAATTCACCAACTAATTAAGAGACGATTTCGGAGTGCCATAGCAGTGATGGGTGTGCTCACTTTTTGTAAACACCTGACATCCACTCATGGTTGTATCTCCCTCGAAATTGACTGTGCTGTGTTTGTCATATTTGTTTTTCTCGAACGAGTTTGCAATGATTATTGAGATTTTATATTTTTACTTAGGTTCACGTGTTTGTCTTGGAGAGCAACTTGCAAAGATGGAATTATTCCTCATATTCGCTGGAGTGCTTCAACATTTCCGTCTAGAGGTCGATGCACAGAGTCCACTCCCATCGCTAGATGATGGTTTTATGCACATAACTTTGCGACCCCCGAAGTTTAAGATGCGGATGGTGAAACGATAAGATCAGTAGTATTTGTGCTTCAAAGGAAACCTGAAATTGCGAACTTGTGTTGGAGTAGTTGAAACAAAGGCGTAGGGCTTTTTTTTTTGTTTTTTATAAAAATGCTCTAATAATTTAGGAAGTGCTTTTTGGATTTAGCTTAAATATAATATTCACGCCCAATGTGAGCTCAATAATGTACGTGTGCATTTATGGATATTATCATTTGAATGTCTCATCTTATAGTTGGAGTAGCCTACAGTAATTGTGGTCAGTTGAAGTTGACAGTATGTTTAAACTAATTAATATGTATAAGTTTATAGAAAGAGATCCCAAACTTAGTAATAGAATATCAAAACACAACCACAAAAATTATTTTATGCCAGAGACAATAACAACATTGACGACGGGGACATCTATCACCCTCTCGTATAACTTCAATTCAAGCAGGGTAAAACAAACGAATTCTGATTATATTCTATAAACCAAAAGCAGTTCTTTTATCTTTATTTAAATTTATAAATTTCCCAATTCAAACTGAAACGAGCGGTTTCTATTGGATGATTGAATAATGTAATGTTTTCAGATGACGTTATTGTTGTCATCTTGACGATATGGAAATTTATAAATATTTATGAAGATGAAGGAATGAATCTGTTTTGACAAGGTAACTACAAGATTTATTTTCTGAGACCGCTCCATGGCAGTCATATTTTTTAATTGGTGTTGGCATAGCTTTGTTGCAAGTGTGAATAGACAACTTGCGGGTTTCAAATATACGTTATAACTTGCTGGATTATGTCAGTAACGCTATAAACTTGTTCAAATTCTGTGCCACGATACTCTCCATCAATAGCTCATGTTTACCCGTATTTGTACAAACTGCGGCGACTTTACATTGTCAGAAGTTTGTGCGACTATAAGCCCAGCGTTAACCTATACACAATTCATGTTATATCAAATTTTATGAATATCTTGGTTATTTTATAAAAAACATGTACGATAAAGCCCGATCAAAATGAGAGAAAATTATGACGAATTCGGACAAAACTACGTGACACAGAAAACCGCAAATGGTCTATTGCCTATGGGATTATAATTAAAATTACAACGTTCTTTTTAAGAGGAAGGTCAATTCCACTGGCCGGGATTCATTCACTAACGAATGCGACTTTGGGGGAACCTTGATTAATGGTCCGCAGATGCTTGCGTTCGACTGGGTCTGGTTGATGCCAGGATAACATATTAAAATGTCAATTGATACAGAGATGGCTGCACATCTCTGTCATGTAGTCCCAAACATGGCTTCTGTGGCAAAAACGCACTAGCACTTTGCACATAAAACAGTGACATTTAATGTTCTGAACTGTCACCTGACACAAACTACCATTTTTAAGGTTTGCATAGATAATGTTCAATATGAAGAAATCAAAAATCACAATGGGACATATTAGGTAATTCAAACAAGATTGTCATCATAAATCGATCAATCATCCTACACTTGAATCAATGAGACCACCCCAGTATGAGTGACCACTACAACCCTCACCTGGGGGTGCGAGATATACGTGTTGTGCCACAAAAATATGATTAAACTTTTTTGGGAAAATCCCTAAAACTGGGTAATAACTCAAAAAAAACATAAGAAAATAGGCTCATTTAAGACTACTGGGCTAACATTTTTGGAAATGACATCATTTTCCCTGATACTAGATTTTTTCTTTCTAAACGACAGGGTAAAAATGATCTCCAGTTGGCCAAATGTCAACAAAATGGAAAATAAAGCACGTAATATTTATGTATAGCATTATGACTTGGTCTTGTATCAACTATCGAAAATAATCAATAAATGATGTCTAGGAAATGGTTAAAAACACATGAAAACAAGCTATGTATGGCAAAGTCCCAGTTATCAAATTTAAAATATGTAGTTTTGTTTATAGTAATATAGTTGGAACATAAACATGTCAGAAGTATGGATCCAGAAGATAATGCTTGATTATTATGATGTTTTAACATTAAAATGATTGACATCTTGTATCTGATCGTCAAATGAGTACTTTTCCATATTGAGAAATATTGCTCTGGAACAGCATTAATGGCCATCAGTCGGCCATTTTGAATACATCTATGTATCTATAACACGATCTAAAACGAATATACAAAATTTGAACATAATCAGTCAAAGCATATCATAGATATCGCTCATAGATAAGTGCATTCATGTAAACAAAATGACCGCCAGTCAGCCATTTTGAAACCAATCTGAAAAATAAAATGATGTGCATCAGGAAACCATAATCTCTAATGAATGTACCAAGTCTGAACACAATCCATCCATAAACACCAAGCTCCAGTTCTGGAATGCCAGAAATGCTTGATTTTTGATGATTTGTCAGCACAAAAATAGAGCCATTTGGTCATTCTGAATCAGATAGTCAAATCAATACATCTATGTCACGATGTATAATGAATATATAAAATTTGATTATAATCAGTCAAAGCATGGTAGAGATATGGCACTAGAACTGCATTCATTAAAAAAAATGGCTACCATTCGGCCATTTTAAATTGGATCTGAAAAATACCAAAATCCATCTATAAATGCTTGATTGTGATGATTTTTTTTAGCACAAAAATGGCCACCATTCGACCATCTTGAATCAGATTGTGAAACATGCATATGTATAATATTATTTATGATGTATGTGTGAAGTTTGATTGTGATTGGTGCAGGCATGTCTAAGATACAGGTTCGGCCACACGCACTGATGCACAAAGGTCAAAACATAAGTGACTGTTTATGGACTGCATACGAACAGGGACTAATAAAATCAAAATGGCCACCAGTAGGCCATTTTGAATCAAGTAACATATTCAACTGATGTGCATCAATGATTCATTATGTTTACACCAGGTTTTATAATAAAATCCAGCCAGACAGAAAAATGGTTGATGAAATTTCATTATCTTTTCGAATGAAATTGGTTACCAGTCAGTCAAAAGTAAATGATAAATCGGTGCATATGTGTACCATTATGTCTTTGAACCAACTTTGAACAAAATCAGTGAAAAAAGTGTATCTGGAAAATGAGTGAATAAAACATGAGTAAAACAAAATGGCCACCAGTCAAACAAAAATGCATGCATTAGTAACCATTATGGTCAACATAGTTTTATAGATGTCTTTCAAAAATTGCTCACAATGCTATCTGGGAGACAGATTGGGAAACAAATTCTCTGACAAACGTAATTTTACTTAACATGGATTAAAAAAGTTAATACTTCTCAGTCAGATTAAAAAATATTTAGCAGTTTTTGATGACAGAGATAAACATAATAGAGCAACATGTTAAACTATATTTAAAAAAAAATCATGGGCTTTAATAATATTTATAAAACTTTTAGTAGTTTGCCCTATGCTAATATATATGGGCTATAATACATTTCCAATTATTGCCCATACTTCACCAAACTCGTGTTGATGAAACTGTATTGCTCAACTTTCATGGTAATTGCATAGTTGTGTACAAAAAAAATGAGCATTCAAGAAAGGAATTGTGAGAGACAATCCTACAGGTACTATGGGTGCAACAAGAGAATTCAATGACCACATTATTTTGTTGATGTATAAAAATGGTTCTGTATTCAAGTTTAGAACTGGGTTAAAAATACTTCACACATGTACAATGGCTGTAAAAAATAACATAAATAAATATTTGAATCTGAATACACAGCCCTTGCGAGTCAAATGGACATTAGACCCAAATTACTGCTAAGGTCTCGCTAAAAATGAGAGTCGCAAGATATTTTTATTGTTCTTTAAATAGTGTTTCATTTTTTCCTGTCATCGCATTTACTGTACCAAATATTGTGGTGTAAAATTTTTACTATGATGACATTTCATGACCACAGTATTTGTTTTTTCTTTTTAAGATTAATAACGGTATTAACCCATAGACTGGAGCTTGAAAATTATTATACAATACAATCAATTATACCTTGAAAGTGACATCCATGTTACCCTTTGTTAGTTTGCGAACATTTCCTAAAATTTACAAAATGTATTTTCATTATAACAACGGCACAATCAAGTTGGACAAAAGGAAATTCAGAGCGAAAATCAGTACAGTTCAACAATTGGGTAGTGCCACAGTTTGTATTTTTAATTATACATGAATGACCCCAAATGAAGTAGTCTCTAGACATAACAGACACTGCCTCAAGAAAAGTCAGAGACAATGTAGCTGATAATTACTGTGACCAAAAGAAAGAACAGTAAATATTGTATAATGAGTAAATAGCGACATCACACAAAGTGTTGCCACAAGAAGCAATGGCTACACTGTGAGCAATATAGCTATATTCATTAGCAAAACAGTGTCTCTTACTGCAATTGTGTTGTTACTTTCTTTTTTGCGGCCACCATAACTAAGATTACTCTAAATATTAAAAGTCACACTAGTCGTCGCCTGTGTTAGACCTGTGTTTGACACCTGTTAGACAGATCCTTATTCATACAATATAGTACCAGCTATACCTTTGATAGGCTTCGGATATTTTTCCAGTAAATCGTCGAACAAAACAAAATGTTGCATGTTGAACTGTCAAGCTAAATTGATTTCTGTTGTAATCAACTAAGTTGGGAATTAATGTAGCGATATTATGCAGTGTTCAACTGTTTGGCATCAACAGTCTTCAACAAATCTTACAAATGACCATACTGTTAAAAATTATATATTGTGTGTGCATGAGTGAGTGAAAAAAAACATGTTTTCCATATTTTATAAAATTAGGTAAACTTTTAAAAGAAACAAGGATGTCCACAATACAGTATGAAAATGCTTGTAACAAACTTGGTAAATTATTGGACTGAAACTGCTGACCAGAAGTGTATCATCTTTGACCCTTCCTTTAACATTTCGCACACATGGTAACATAGCAATAGAAGACATTATAGACATTATGCACTGGCTAATGCAATCATATAAGAATAGAAACAAATATGACGTGGGTTAGAAAGTTCATTTTTTCCTTCATTATCTTCTTGCAAAGTTTTTCTCAAGGGCTGCTTTGGTCCTTTGAAGTGAATGGATTTTGCTCTTTATTCTGTGTTCCACTGACAGATCACCGGGTAGCTTCAAAGGTCTGAAAATTCAGAATAGGTTGAATCAGTATTTTTAGTTGCAATAGATGGATGGGCAACATAACCAAATACTAGCTCATTATTGGTACTACAAATATTATATTAAGATGATACAATAAATTCAATTTTACTTCTATTGGAGATCTGCTTTCACTATAAATAGGAAAAATATGGTAATCACAATATATAAACTTACTCTAAAAACTCAGCGTCTTTAGACTTATTTTTCTCCATTTCATTTTCTTGTTGTTCCTCCACCTTTAAATAAAAGATAAAATTTGAGATCACCAAAAAAAACTGAGGTTTTATAATCATCGTTATGTAGTCAATTTATCTGCTTTGGTAGTCCTTACTCATGAATATGTACCACTGCTTTTGCCAAGTAATTTAGAATTGTTTTTTTTTTTGAGGAAAAAAACACAATATGCTTTGAGCAAGTACTAAATACTACATGTACATGTATGAAATAATTATGACATAAACTAGTTCTAAAAAAACAACATGTAAAATAAACAGTATAAAAACTAAATTAAATCACCATACAACAAGAAACATATTTATAAGTTTGCATTTTGTTTATGCTACAAATTTGGGATAATGACACATTTCTTTTGTCTTAAATAAAAATTGTGTGAACTATCAGCGTTTTTAGAACGTAAAATCTCTGTGTGATTACGAAAATTCCTCCATCCTAGCCACATATTTTTGCAACCTCTAATGAAATTATTAGGCAAGTGCACTTGCAAGCAATTAATTGGGATGCTTTTTATAAATATTACACATTATTAGTGTCAGTTATTTTCATACATGCATGAAACAATATGATTAATTATAATCTAGTATCTTGACTGTAAATTGCCATTGTATTGTTATGTACTTCTCCAGTTATCACAGTCCGAGATAGCAACAAATAGTGCCAATGATTTCAACAAAAGATGAATTTCAATCTTTTATTAATCGTTTTTATTACATAAACTCAACTACTGACAAGTGGGAAGACAATTCAAACACCTGGGTCAAACCTGGGTTAACCCAGCCTGCCTTTTCCAGCCCTAGTCAGACCTACAATATGCAAATTACTGGTAGTAGTAGGTTTGAACCTAACCTCAGGATAAACTGCTCGCCCATTAACGCTCCCCCCCCCCACTGAAAACAAACAATAGAGAACAAAGAAGAAAGTTTTTCTTGCAATACTGTTTCAGCCTAGTTTTAGTAGGAAAAAAAAATAAGATGCATACTATAGAGCTCCATGTTCATACTGAGTGTTATATTTTGAAGTGTTATTAAGAATTCCAGCAGCAATTTTTTTTCTTTGCAAGTTATGTAAATGCTAATAATGTCATTTATAAGTGTGATGAAAATTATATTCATTTATTTCTGTGATTGGTAATAATAATCAGTTTCCCACAACTTACATTTTGGTACAAGTCAATACAATTGTTATTGTCAATACTTAGTCAATTTATCTGGAATTAATTACAGACGTGATATTTTGTCATTAAATGTGAATCAACTGATACCTTAGATGCTCTCTATTGTGATATATATGGTGAATTAATGTTTGAAACAGAACAGGGAAAAAATAGAATTTTAATGAGCAGCTTCTTGGAACAAATTACTTACGTTATATATATATTTGGCATAGTCAGTAAAATATGTTTATCCATGGAGCGAATTGGTACATTTCGTCCGCAACAAGTACGGTCAGTTTTGAGCCCATGCCAGTTCATAAATTCATAGAAAACGTTTTTTGGTTAAGTTTGTAAAGTCTGTGAGACTGCGAGTTATCAAAATATGATGAAAGTATTAAATCAAAAATAGCAACATTGTTTTCTGCGAAGGCATCTCAAAACCGCAGTCCCTCTATTATTGTCTCAAAACTAAAGTCGGCGGTAACGCTACGACTACTGTAATATTGTCAGCTGGCATTGCGGTGAAATTACGAGTATTTACCGCTGCCGATATCTTACTTTACGGTGACAAAATGCGCATTTCAAACCCCCGGTTAATTATAAATAAACGATTATTTTAGAAAGTACAACAAAGCACAGTGCCTTGAGGGAATGTGGTTGAAGTAGGCAGCGAGGTGTTGTTTTTAAACACTGCAGAAAATCAAGCACTCAACGTTGCCATCTTGGTTACCTCAATCAGAATTCCACCTTGCCAGCATGCATCGATCACGATATTGCAACGTGCATTGTGTCGGCAGTCCTTGGTACAAGGCACTCTATGAACAAGGTATTTTCAGAGAACAGGGTTAGTTTTTTTATAAGCAGTCTCGTCTGCAGATGAATAAATTTTGCCTATAATAAACGCTTACAGTACATGTAGTTCTTTCTTTCAGCGCGAGTCCATTTAATTTAGTTGATGTGCAGCAAATTGGAATAAATCTTCATGGCGTACGCTGCATTTGTTTTTCGGATTTAGTGATGCCGCCCTCCTGAAAGAATTGTTTGAAAATTGAACGTGCAGCAGTAATAATGACTTGAACACAGTAGCGCAAGTCTGAAGTGAAACTTTGTATCAACAAATTTTTGTCTTCTGATACTTATTAGCTGTCAAAGACACATATCAATTATCCAGCCCAATGAAAAGTCTGATTCACATTCTCTGCTCAATTTGCGACTCAAGCGTAACAGTTTATCAAAACAATTTATTCAGCACTCTGTTCACCGGTATTTGAAAGAGTGTTTTTTAGGCAAGATGCACGGTAAAATGAAGCTTGCACACAAATAAATCAACACATTTTAGAGACAACTATCTGGACTTGAAAAATCAACGTAAACTATGTCAATCTGAAAAATAAACAACCTCTTTGAAGGTGTGAATGAGATAGGTTTGAACCGCAGATTTTATGCAAATTCATGCGGTCGCCCTGAACCGCACTGTCTATTGTTTAAACTTCTAAACCGCAAAACTGGGTTTTGTTCGGGTTTTGTTCGGGCGGTTTTCGTAGGTTTGACCCACATGTTTGAATACGAGATCACCCCTAAAACAATGCATATAGGTCATGTCCTCAGTAAACATGGATAGAAAGCATCATCATTCCAAAAAGTTAAGTTCAGTCAGTCAGTCAGTCAGTTGAGTTTAATCTCCCCTCGTCTTTGAATTTTAGCTGCTAATCACTCAGTATAAAAAAAATAATAAAAGATAAATTCAGAATTATGATCACATGCATTGATTTACCTTGTATTGATGTACTCTCTGCTTTCTCTGTTCTGTCCGCCATGATGCATTGTCTATCATCTCTTTTCTTCTCCTTTCCATCTCCTCCGCATCGGGTCTGAATCAGAAAGCAGTGGCAAAAACATCAACATCAAAAACCATAGTGACAGAAAGAAACTGAAAATATTATAGACAGCAGCCAAGCTGATTTCAAAAATTCTGTTGATTATTAGAGAAAATTGTTTATCAAACTTTCAATAACATCCATTTCATGTAATGAAAGCATATGCATTAATTTGGTGGGACAAAAATTGTCCAAACAAATTTTTAGCAGCGACTTTTTTTAAATTAAAATATAAATATAAAAATTAGTATTTAATTGATATCATCTGCCATCTTTTCCGGAAGAGCAAATAGTTGGTAATAGCAGTTCAATATAACCTAACCCAACCCAATATTTCATAAAATTTCCCTTCATCAATACTGTATACTTACTTTTTGCTGTGCACTGGTCTTTTTTGATGAGCAGGTGATCTGCTTCGTGACTTTCTTGAATGACTGCGAGTTTGTTTTCTTTCAACAGGAGATCTAGTACGGTTTCGTGAACGCTGTGGCGATGTACTTTCTCTACCTTTTTTCCGTCTCTCCGGTGATTCACTTGACCATTGCTGACCATTGCTTCTTCTGAAATCATGGTGGTCCCGACTCCTATGCCGCCGACTGTCTTTATGCCATTCACTTCGAACATCTCTCTGTCTATCAACATATCTGTCGTGCCTGTCTGTATGTCTGTCGTTGTGCTTGTCTGTATGTCTGTCGTTGTGCTTGTCTGTATGTCTGTCGTTGTGCCTGTCTGTATGTCTGTCATCATGTTTGTCTATACGCTGCTCACTGTGGTGGTTATGTTTCCTGTTGTCTTGTCTCTCCCTTGATTGATCACTTCTTCTAGAGCCAAGCTTATGAGACAAACTTTCATCAGGTGACGCCCGTCTCTTTGGATAAGAGTAAAATACATACTAGGTATTAAGATTGGTGTATAAATGCTATATTATTTTGCACCATACACACACATGTACATACAAGAATGATATAATCCTATGTTTATTTATCTCCATAGTTTTTATACACATTATTATACACGTAACAAAAATTCATTAAGTGATGTGATTCCATTTCGGTCCTGTGCTATATTATTGGTGTATTCATTGCTAGTACATAGTTTTTTGAAAGCCTCCATGAATGAGCAAAAAACAATATTGGCAGGTGGTGTGTTGGGACAGAGTTAAAACGTGATGCATATTTTCCATGCATGAAGACATCCGAAAGACATTCAAACATGGCTGTGTAATTTTTGAATACAGCTGTATATGGAGTTTTGCAGATTGTCGACATTGTATTGTATTCACTGCCAGATTCATGTGGTTATTTGCAGAGATCACTTATTTGAGGAGCTGGTTGATACAAGTGAGGTTAAGGTGAGTTGATACATGTAACAACCAATGTGTATTAAATTGCGCCCTATTTGGAAATATTAGAGATACTTTCTTCAATGCATTGTTCAATTAATCACTCACAATAGCTGTATCATGGACAAAACAGTTGCGTCTACAGGAGAAGATTTTTTTCCAGTCAGAGATTGAGCTGGGATTTTAAAATCAATTACTTTAGCTCTGAAAATCCAAATAGGTAGATCAGTTCACTCGAATAATTGTTCTTTTTCTTCTATTTTTTCACTATAATAATAAATAATTTATTAATTTATTTTTACAGGGGTTGCATTAGTGTTTGATAATGTGGAGTCCCTGGGACCCACCCCTTATAAAATGTGTGGGTCCTTTAAAAATATGTGGGGTCCCTGCCGCTACCGCATTTTTACAGTTATTAAAATATAATGCTGCTTTTACAAATTTTAAATCATTACTGGGTTTATCCTCAAGTTCTTCATAAGCCAAGATAAATGAACTGGTGTCAGACTTAACTTAGACTTAATACAGTTCTGGCAAGAAAAGGCATGGCCTCATAGAACCTGCCGGGGAGGAGATCTTGCAAATAACTAATTGATTCATGGCTTCTAGAAAAGTGATTTTTTTTCTCCCATAGTCACTTGTGTTATACAATTAAATAGTTCATTGTTTAGATTAATATTGTCCCCAGAAAACAATACACCCAAAATTTGTATATACTAGTACTAGTACCAGATTCTGCAGTAAATTTGCCTCTGGGCAGTTTTGGTTTTTAAAAAAATAATATGGGACCAAGAAATCGGCGATTTTTCGGCAGATTTTATTTAATATTTGTTATTTAAATATTTTGGCGTAATTTTTCGGACATTACAATCTCCTGACGCCTAAAAAAAGTTTTTATTCAAGAGTATGTTTTTTGTGACTAGCGAGAGTGCGTAATCTTCGTTTCGGTTTGAGTTGTTGTCACTGTAAACGATGTTAAATTAGTCTTCAAATGCGCAGTTTATCTTTTGAAAACAACTATTTTTTGATTTGAAAAAAAAATCATACCGTTTTTTCATGAAAATCCAATCATTCCTGACGGCTAAAATAGTCTAAGTTTTACCGTAGTCGTCTACTCAAGAGTATGATTTTTATCGAGACTAGCGTGAACGGGTGAGCTTAGTTTTGACAATGAACTGTTATCACTGTAAACAATGTTAAATTATTCTTCAAATGCTCAGTTTATTTTTTAAAAAGAACTAATTTTTTGATTTAAAAAAAATCATGCCGTTTTCCCATCAAAATCCAAGCCAAAAGATCGTACTACAACATCGGCAAATCTCTTCCGCGTTGCGTTCAATAACATTAACATATTTAAATGAGCTATGGTAATTTGAACACGTTGGCGTCATCCAGCATTTTTATTGGTTAATTAGCGATTTGACCTATTAGGTCAACCATGCAAGACAAGGAACATGGCGGATACTCGAAAGCATCGAGCGTTAATTTGCGACCGGAATTATTTGCTTACGACGAAACGAAGTTGAATTTTATTTGCATTTCATAACAATTCAAAAAATTTGTTTTTTGTACGTTATTATAGTCACTACTGAGTAATACCGGTAATCGACAATTTTGAAACGCAGCATGACTGGATTGCGCAACCATGATCATTTGTTGCTCGGCAGTTGTATTCGTTTTTACTTCGTTAAGAATATAATTTCGTTACCAATAAAATTAGGAAAAAAAAGTGTATTTGACGTACCAGGGTCGTTTGTTTTTTGAAAAAAATTACTCTGGGTGACATTGTAAGTTTTAGGCGGATAAATTAGCAGGTCACAGTGCATTCTACTTGTCTCAGTATTGACTGTCTCGCCGTACTTCAGATGGGACTTCACACATTCCATTGTGAAATGTAGATGCTAATAGGTGTTTTTGAAGACAATGGCACAGTAGTGTACGTGAATTTAAAAGCTCTATGAACTTTGTATGCGGGACAATGGCATCGCAGACGCACACAATGCCTTTAGACCTATCATAATACGACCGAGTTGCGTGCTCACCGGATGCGTCCCAGGGACTCACCAGTTAAAAAATTCATGCGTCCCACAGAAAAACTATGCTTCCCGGACGCGAAATTCCGCGTTAACGCATCTTAGATGTATAATTGTAATAAAGTTATCACAAGAATGCGGAAAACAGGACCGCAGCTGCATCAACATTCGCATCAGTTGATTACAGCTTCAGCCCTGTTATGACATAATGTGCATATTTTGTCATATCCTCACAATCTGTCATTTTGTTATGTAAAATAATAAAGTCACATTTGAATCTGTTGATTTTGAGTTTATTGTAACTGACGATTAGTTTATACAGAAATACTGTACTCTGACTCAACTTTATTGTTGTTGTAATACATACTTCCTATAACCTGGTTGGGACCTTCCATCCTCACATTGAGACCATTGAAATTTATTTTTTAGAACACCTCTATGGACAATAGGGAAAAAAGTTAATTTCGAGCCCCGAAATGACTATTTTTTGCCCAATTTTGACCATTTTTTGAGTCATTTAAGAGATAATTTTGCTCACTTCCAAACATGGATAGACAATGTTCTAATGTGTTTGTATGTGCCTGGGTTCGGCCAATATATTTGGAAATATGTGGCGTGAAAAAATCGTGTATGTTTTTTTACCCATT